GCACCGCCACGGAGCCGCGGGCCCGCCTTCCGCGATCTCACAGAGGCTTCGCTTCTTCTTTTAGTCGCTTCTTGGCAACCCGAGCGGTTGCCACATCCCCCGGATCCGGAGCCTAAAGCCCGGGCATCCCTTTTCGGACCTCTCTGGAGCCAGTTCTCCCTGCCTCCAGTTCCCAGCTACAAAACCCCAGCCCCACCTTCCGCTCCCGTTGCGCGCGCGCGCGTGCACACACACACACACACACACACACACACGCGGGCACCGTCCCCCCAAAACGCAGACAAGGCACACACCCACCCGCGACGCCTCCAAACGCTGCCTCCTGCCCGGCAGCTCTGCTCCCGCGTCCCCACGCCTCCCTCTTGGGCGCTAAGGGGACTCCAGTCACCCCTTATCCCGTCTTTTCCGTGGTTTTTCCCCCGGGAAAGGTCCCCAGAACAGGCATCACCGCTCTCAGGGACCCTCCCTCTGACTTCTAGCAGCCCCAAATGCCCCAACCCCGCCGCGCAAAAAGTCAGTCTCTGGGCCCAGCGGCTCCTACTTCGCTTTCTGCTGACTGCAGGGCAGTCTGTGCAGGCCACTTTTTAATGAAGTGAGCTGGACGGGGAGGATTCTCTCTTTCTGAGGTTGAGGGCATAGTTCCTGCCTTTAAGATGGGGGGCGGGGGTGGGAGAATTTGGCCTGTTCTATTGGTGGGGGTCAGGTGCTTTGTCCCTCCCCATACATTTTTGGCTACCAGCCTCCTTCTGGGGGTGCCTCACAAGAGGGAGGGGTGCCCTGAGGGGTTTCTGGGAGGTGACTTGCTAGCTGGCCGTGGGTTTAATTCCCTGGGGAGGCTGGCCCAGGCATCTGGCCAAACTCTGCTTCTTAATTAGTTTGTGTGTCTCTTACTGCCTGGCCCTTTATCTATAGGCCAGAAAAGGAAAGACAGGAAGAATGAAAGGCTGGGTTTTGGGGAGGAGGCGACTGAGTGGGTCCCAGAGACCTCGGCCCCGCAGGGGTTGTGTGAGTGTGTGTGTGGGGGGGGGGCTCTTCCTTCCTCTTTCTCCCCAAGGTTTCCCTTCAGCCTCCCTGTTCCTTAGGAAGCCTAAAGAGGGACATCCGTGAGGTCTCCCCCTGTTTTTCACCACACCCAGGAGGTCTGTAGAGTGACTGAGAACCCTCCTGTTGGCTGCTGTCCCCCACTCTCTCCCTCTGAGTGTCCTTGGGCAGATCTGGCATGCCCATCTCCCGGCCATGGCCATCCCCTTCCTCCATTCCCTCCACCTCCTCCAACCTCCTCCAGGGCTGCATGGGGCACATCTTGAGGAACCCCCAGCAGTGAGTGTGGGGAGTGGGAGACAGGTGCAGTGGTCTCTGCAGACCCTGATTTGAGAGTGATTTGGGGCCAGGGTTGAGTCATTGGCTCATCTGCCCTTTTTCTGGGTGTTTTCTCCCTTCCCTGAGTCCAAGCTCTCTCACTCAGAGTGAGTGAAGTGGGTTGTATGCATTGGGGCCAACCCCTGACTCTTGGATGACATTCTTTCCACCTGCCCTTTGAGAGTGTGGCTCCAGGGAAAGACTGGGGCCTCGGGGGAATTGCTGGGTGGAAAGTCTTTATGGCGGTGGTTGGAGAGAAAGGAAGATCTAGTTTGAAGGGGAGGATAGCAGGAGGCTACTGAGTTCCTTGTGAAGCTTTGGCCAGATATAGCCAGAGAGAACCATCGTAGGGCTGGGGCTGGGGTAAGGAGTAGTATGGAGAGCTGGTTTTCTGCTCCCTCCCCCACTTCCCCTCTGTTCACAAAGTAGATGAAGCAACTTGAGAAAGAGTGGAGTGCCGGTGAGAAATGGTCAGGCGTGTCCGTCCCTGTGTGCCAGCATCTAGCATGGTGCCTGGCACACAGCAGGAGCTCAGCAAATATTTGTTGCAAGAATGAAGGGCCATGGTTTGGGGGGAGTTGGAAGAAATGCTATTGAAATTCTT